GGAAAATGGGTTTATATATCTGTGGAATGACCAGGGTGGCACAAAGAACTCTTGTCTGTTGGAGCTAGGTGAGAATGTTTCAACTGACCACCTTGATTAGCATTTGATGGCCTGGCAGTGCCTGGGGCAATCTTTTGTTGAGAGGTGATTAGATGTGCCTGATTGTTTCCTCTCTGCTGTTTTGCTGTTGTAATTTTAGAGTTTTTAAATACTGGTAGCCAGATTTTGTTCATTTTCATGGTTTCCTCCTTTCTGTTGAAATTGAATAGTGAAATTGATCACTATGCTGGCTTTTGTATTCGATCACACATCGGACACTTCTCAAGTGTCAAGGACTGTGTGATGTATCAACTAATAATGCATGTAAATCCAAGCAGGGTGGCCTTTTGCAGCTGACAGATGGTAATTTTGTCAGCGCTGATTGTTTTTAAGTGCAGGCCAAGGTCTTTAGGCACTGCACCCAGTGTGCTGATCACCACTGGGACCACCTTGACTGGCTTGTGCCAGAGTCCTTGCAGTTTGATCTTTAAATCCTCATATCGTGTCAGTTTCTCTGCAATCCTGCTGTCACCTGGGATTGCGACATCGACAATCCATACTTTGTTTTTTAACACGATTGTGAGGTCAGGAGTGTTGTACTCCAAAACTCTGTCTGAATCCGGAAGTCCCAGAGTTGCTTGACATGTACATTCTCTGTAACTTTTTCCGGCTTGTGATCCCACCAGTTCTTTGTTGCAGGCAGATGGTATTTGTGGCACAAGTTCCAATGAATCATCTGAGCAACGGTGTTTTGCCTCTGCTTGTAGTCTGTCTGCACAATCTTCTTGCAGCAGCTGAGGATGGGATCTATTGTTTCATCTGCTTCCTTGCAGAGTCTACACTTGGGATCTGTTATCGACTTTTCAATTCTGGCTTTGATGGCATTGGCTCGAATGGCTTGTTCTTGGGCTGCCAGAATCAGGCCCTTCTTTGTCTCCTTTTTCCAAGTTTTATTTGTGAGCCACAGCCACGTTTTTTCCTTGTCAATTTTGCTGTCAATTTTTCCCAGGAACTGTCCATGGAGAGCCTTCTTTGGCCAGTTTTCTCTTCTGCTCTGCATTGTATTTTTGCAGTATTCATTCTTTGTCTTTTGCGCTTATCATCATCATCTTATTTCTTACCCACAACTCCTTGAATTTGGTATTGTCTTGGAAAAGTCACCATCTCTTAGCCAAAGCCTACCTTGCAAGGGGGTTGTGTAGCTCAACCCATTCTTACTTAATAATTAATAATAATAATAAGTGTGTTTATTATCTGCCTTTCCTTTATTACACCAATGTATTATGATGACAAAATGCACCCTGTCAAAAGCACATATCAAAACTGATTTCTATAAAACACATCTATGAAAATACATTGCATAAAAATTAACACACAATCAACCAACATGGACTGTGAATTTAAAATGTGTAGGCAGGTGCGACTGCGAGATAAAAGGGCACAAAATGGTGCTGCATTAGGTGTTTTTTAAATTTTATTTTCCCAAAATGCCATCTCTTCCTTCCATTTCTCTAAAAGAAGGCAGTGCTGGGAAACTGGTTCACTGAGCATTATTATTATTATTATTATTATTATTATTATTATTATTATTAGTAGTAGTAGCATTAGTATTGCTATTACTATTATTTGTGGAGGAAGACTCCCCTGTTCAAAGAGCATTATTATTATTATTATTATTATTATTATTATTATTATTACTATTACTACTATTATTTGCACAAATAATAGTATCCACAAAATATTACTACTACTACTACTACTATTGCTATTACTAGCATTTGTGGAAGAGGAACTGCCCTAGTTCACATAATTACTATTGCTATTGCTATTACTATTATTTGTGGAGGAAGACATCATTATTCATGGAGGAAGACATCATAATGAAGCATCATCATCATCGTTATTATTGCTATTACTGTTATTGCTATTATTTGTGAAGGTGGACCCCCCGTCCACAAAATTTATTATTAGAATAATAGAATCCTAGAGTTGGAAGAGATCTCATGGGCCATCCAGTCCAACCCCATCGTGCCAAGAATCAAGGAAATTGCATTCAAAGCACCCTCAACATATGGCCATCCAGCCTCTGTTTAAAAGCCTCCAAAGAAGGAGTGTCCACCACTCTCCAGGGCAGAGAGTTCCACTGCTGAACAGCTCTTACCGTTAGGAAGTTTTCCTAATTTTCAGATGGAATCTCCTTTCTTGTAATTTGTTTGTTCCATTGTGTCCTAGTCTCCAAGGCAGCAGAAAACAAGCTTGCTCCTTATGACTTCCCTGCACATATTTTTACATGGCTATCATGTCTCCTCTCAGCCTTATTATTATTATTATTACTATTACTACTACTACTACTACTACTACTATTACTATTATTTGAGGAGGAGAAAACACCCCCAGTCCACAGAGCACTATTATACTATTATTATTATTATTATTATTAAAATTGCTATTGCCATTATTTGTGGAAGAGGACCCCTGTTCGCAAAACATTATTCTTCTTCTTATTATTATTAGTCTTGTTATTACTATTATTTGTGGAGGAGGGAACACCCCCCTTCACAGAGTATTATTATTATTATTATTGCTACTAGCTGCCCCTGCCACACGTTGCTGTGGCCCTGTCTGTGTATATGTGTTTTGTGTGTGTATATATTAGTGTATATGTGTATTTGCGCATATATATGTGGTTTTGCACATGCATTATAATGTAATTTTGGTTTTTTTGGCTTTTAAAGTCTCCTCTGCTGTGTTTTTCAGTGTTTTTTCCTGAGTGATGGTCATTGGTTGGCCTGATAGGTATATTGTGTCCAAATTTGGGAGAGAGAGAGGGGGAGAAGAAGGGAGAGGGGTGAGAGAGAGGGAGAGAGGGGGGGAGAGGGGGAGAGAGAGGAGAGAGAGGGAGAAAGGAGAAGGGGGAAGAGAGAGGGAGAAAGGGAGGGAGAGAGAGAGGAGAAAGAGGGGGGGAGGAGGGGAAGAAAGGGAGGTGGGGGGAGAGAGGGGGGAAAAAGGGTGAGAAAGGGAAGGGGGAGAGAGTGGGATGGAGTGGGAGGGAGGGGGGTGAGAGGGGGAGAGAGAAGGGGAGAGAAAGAAGAGAGGGAGAGAGGGGGAGAAAGGGAAGGGGAGGGAGAGAGAGGGAGAAAGGGAGGGAGAGAAGAGAGAGGGAGAAAGAGTGGGGGGAGAGAGGGGGGAAGAAAGGGTGAGAAAGGGAAGGGGGAGAGAGTGGGATGGAGTGGGAGGGAGGGGGTGAGAGGGGGAGAGAGAAGGGGAGAGAGAGGGGGAGAAAGGGAAGGGGGAGAGGGAGAAGAGAGGGGGAGAGAGAGGGAGAAAGGGAGGGAGAGAGAGAGGAAGAGAGGGGAGAAAGAGTGGGGGGAGAGAGGGGGGAAGAAAGGGTGAGAAAGGGAAGGGGGAGAGAGTGGGATGGAGTGGGAGGGAGGGGGGGAGAGGGGGAGAGAGAAGGGGAGAGAGAGGGGGAGAAAGGGAAGGGGAGAGGGAGGAAGAGGGAGAGAGAGGGGGGAGAGAGGGAGGAAAGGGAGGGAGAGAGAGAGAGGAAGAGAGGGGAGAAAGAGTGGGGGGAGAGAGGGGGGAAGAAAGGGTGAGAAAGGGAAGGGGGAGAGAGTGGGATGGAGCGGGAGGGAGGGGGGTGAGGGGGGAGAGAGGGGAAGAGAGGGGGAGAAAAGGGAAGGGGGAGAGGGGGAAGAGAGGGGGAGAGGGGGGAGAGAGAGGGAGAGAGGGGAGAAAGGGAAGGGGGAGAGATGGGGGAGAAAGAGGGAGAGGGGTGAGAGAGAAGGGGAGAGAGAGGGAGAGAGGGGGGAAGAAAGGGTGAGAAAGGGAAGGGGGAGAGAGTGGGATGGAGTGGGAGGGAGGGGGTGAGAGGGGGAGAGAGAAGGGGAGAGAGAGGGAGAGAGGGGGAGAAAGGGAAGGGGGAGAGGGGAAGAGGGGAGAGAGGGGGAGAGGGGGAGAGAGGGGGAGAAAGGGAAGGGGGAGAGAGTGGGATGGAGAGGGAGAGGGGTGAGAGAGAAGGGGAGAGAGAGGGAGAGAGGGGGGAAGAAAGGGTGAGAAAGGGAAGGGGGAGAGAGTGGGATGGAGTGGGAGGGAGGGGGTGAGAGGGGGAGAGAGAAGGGGAGAGAGAGGGGGAGAAAGGGAAGGGGGAGAGGGAGAAGAGAGGGGGAGAGAGAGGGAGAAAGGGAGGGAGAGAGAGAGGAAGAGAGGGGAGAAAGAGTGGGGGGAGAGAGGGGGGAAGAAAGGGTGAGAAAGGGAAGGGGGAGAGAGTGGGATGGAGTGGGAGGGAGGGGGGGAGAGGGGGAGAGGAAGAGGGAGAGAGAGGGGGAGAGAGGGGGAGAAAGGGAAGGGGAGAGGGAGGAAGAGGGAGAGAGAGGGGGAGAGAGGGGGAGAAAGGGAAGGGGAGAGGGAGGAAGAGGGAGAGAGAGGGGGAGAGAGGGGGAGAAAGGGAGGGGGGAGAGGGAGGAAGAGGGAGAGAGAGGGGGAGAGAGGGGGAGGAAGGGAGGGGGAGAGAGGAGAGAGAGGGAGAGGGAGGGGGAGAGAGGGGAGAAAGGGAAGGGAGAGGGGGAAGAGGGAGAAGAGGGGGAGGGAGAGGGGGAGAAAGGGAGGGGGAGAGAGGAGAGAGAGGGAGAGGGAGGGGGAGAGGAGAATGGGAGGGAGAGAGAAAGAGAGAGGGGGAAGAGAGAGGGAGGGGAGAGGGGAAAGAGAGTGAAAGAGGGAGAGAGAGGGGAGAGAAAGGGAGGGGGAGAGAGTGGGAGGAAAAGGGAGGGAGGGCGAAACAGAGAGAGAGGGAGAGAGAGAGAAAGAGAGAGAGAGCGATGCTCTGGACTGGAGCGCTTCTTCCCCGAGGCCCCGCCCCTCTCCCCGCCCCTCCGGCTTGGAACGCGCTTCCCAGGGCGCTGATTGGCCGGAGCCCTGCCGTAGCTTCGGGACCGGAGCTGCTGCTGCCTGTCTCTCTCTCTCTCTCTCTCTCTCTCTCCGCGCTCGCTCGCGTGGGGAAAGCACTTTGCAGCAGGAGCAGCAGGAGCAGAGAGAGGGAACGAGACAGAGAGAGAGAGATAGAAAGAGGGAGCAAGGGAGGGGGGGCGAGAGAGAGAGAGAGGGAAGGGAGGGGGCGAGGACGTGCTCAGCCTCTGCAGGATGGAGCCAAGCCCCGGCGGCTTCCCGGGAACTTCCCTTTGAGAGAGGGAGAAGAGCAGAGCAGAGCCTCGCTGGGCTCCCTGGCTGCTTCTCCGTCTCCTCTGCAGGATCCTCTCCCTGCCATGAGAGCCGCAGCCAAACTTTGCCCGCTGGCTCCCGGAGGATGAGTGTGCTGATGAGGCTGTGGGTGATGAGGATGCGGAGAGCGGCATGAAGGCGGCGGCGGCGGCGGCGTTGGCGTGGGTAGGAGCTCCGGAGGGGCCTGGGACCCCCTCCCTCTCTCTCCTTTCCCCTTTGAGGCATGCAGACCCCTTCTTGCCCCTTCCCATAGAGCCCGGCTTCCTCCTCCTTTAGCCAAAGATTGAGCCTCTTCGCCCCCTTCTCTGGGGGTCTCTCTTCCTTTCCCTCCCTTATCCCCCCCCTCCCATTAAAGCCGGAAAACCCAGCTCTATCTGCTCACTCCAGACCTCTCCTTGACCTCACCTTTTGCTTCATTTCTGGGGGAGAAGGAGTATTAGAGGTTTGCAGGGAGGAGAGCAGAGGCGATGGGCTCTTAAAGGGGACACAACCCCCAAAGCCCCCTTTCCTGGCCCTTGTTGCAAAGTGCCACCTCCCCATCATCCACATCCCTCCCTTTGGATCTCAAAACAGTCTGGGATCTGCTCCCTTAAACCTCACAATTCCCTTTATTCCAGCTGGAAATTTGCAGGGAAGAGAGCAGAGGTATTGGGCTCTTAAAGTGACCACAACCCAAAAGCCCCCTATTCCGAAGTGCCCTCTCCCCATCATCCCCATTCCCTCCTTTTAGATCTCCAAAGAGTCCAGGATCTGCTCACTTCCAACCTCAGCATTTCCTTTATTCCAGCTGGAGATTTGCAGGGAGGAGAGTCAATGGGGTCTTAAAGTGACCACAACCCAAAAGCCCCCTTTTCCTGGCCCTTATTGCAAAGTGTCACCCCCCAATCATCCCCATCCCTTTCCCTCTCTTTAGATCTCAAAAGACTCTGGGATCTGCTAACTTAGACCTCACAGTTCTATATATTTCAGCTGGAGATTTGCAGGGAGGAGAGCAGAGGTATTGGGCTCTTAAAGTGATCACAACCCAAAGCCCCCTATTGTAAAGTTCCCCCTCCCCATCATCCCCTTCCCTCTCTTTAGATCTCAAAACAGCACTGGGGCTGCTCCCTTAGACATCACAATTCCCTTTATTTCAGCTGGAGATTTGCAGGGAAGATAGCAGAAGTATTGGGCTCTTAAAGTGACCACAACCCAAAGCCACCTATTGTAAAGTTCCCCCTCCCCATCATCCCCTTCCCACCCTTTAGATCTCAAAACAGCACTGGATCTGCTCCCTTAGACATCACAATTTCCTTTATTCCAGCTGGAGGTTTACAAGGAGGAGAGCAGTGGCAGTGGGCTCTTAAAGTGGCCACAACCCAAAGCCCCCTTTCCTGGCCCTTATTGTAAACTGCCACCTCCCCATCATCCCTATCCCTCCCTTGAGATCTCAGAACAGGACTGGATCTGCTGACTTAGACCTCACAATTCCCTTTATTTCAGCTGGAGATTTGCAAGGAAGAGAACAGAGGTATTGGGCTCTTAAAGTGACCACAACCCAAAGCCCCCTATTGCAAAGTGCCCTCTCCCCATCATCCCCAACCCTCCCTTTAGATCTCAAAACAGTCCGGGATCTGCTCACTTCAACCTCAGCATTTCCTTTATTTCAGATGGAGGTTTAGAGGGAGAAGAGCAGAGGCAATGGGCTCTTAAAGTGACCACAACCCAAAGCCCCCTTTCCCTGCCCCTGTTGTAAAGTGCCAACTCCCCATCACCCCCATTCCTTTTCCTCCCTTTAGATCTCAAAAAACTCCTGGATTTCAGCTGGAGATTTGCACGGAGGAGAGCAGAGGCAATGGGTTTTTAAAGTGACCACAACCCAAAGGAGAGCAGAGGCAATGGGCTCTTAAAGTGACCCACAACCCAAAGCCCCCTTTCTCTGCCCCTCTCCATCATCCCCTTCCTTTCCTTTAGATCTCAGAAGAATCCCGGATCTGCTCACTTTAGACCTCACGTTTTCCTTTATTTCAGCTGGAGATTTGCAGGTAGGATAGCAGAGGCAATGGGGTCTTAAAGTGACCACAACCCAAAGCCCCCTTTCCCTGCCCCTTATTGTAATGTGCCACCTTCCCATCATCCCCATCCCTTCCCTCCTTTTCGATCTGTGATCTGTTCCCTTAGACGTCTCTTTGACCTCACAATTTCCTTTATTTCAGCTGGAGATTTACAGGCAGGAGAGCTGAGGCAATGGGCTCTTAAAGTGACCACAACCCAAAGCCCCCTTCTTTGCCCTCTATTGCAAAGTTCCCCCTCCCCATCATCACTTTCCCTCCCTTTAGGTCTCAAAACTGTACTGGTTCTGTTCACTTAGACCTCTCCTTTTCCTTTATTTCAGCTGGAGATTCGCAGGGAGGAGAGCAGAGGCAATGGGCTCTTAAAGTGACCACATCCCAAAGCCACCTCCCCATCATCCCCAATCCCCTTCCCTCCCTCCTTCCCTTCCTCCCAGCTGCACAATCAACAGGCGCCCAGAGGAGGAGGGGAGTGGGGAGGAGGCTCCGGGGCACCCAGCCGTGAGCGATGGATGTGGATGATACTCCCTGCCGCCTGCTGCTACTACTGCTGCTCACTCTCTGGTGGACTCCTCCGTCGGGCGCCCTCATCAACCTCAAGTATGCGGTGGAGGAGGAGCAGCGTGCTGGCACCGTGGTGGCCAACATCGCCAAAGATGCTCGGGACGCCGGCTTTGTGCTGGACCTCCGCCAGCCGGCCGCCTTCCGGGTGGTCTCCAACTCGGCCCCACACCTGGTGGACATCAACCCAGGCTCAGGCCTGCTGGTGACCAAGCAGAAGATCGACCGGGACCTGCTCTGCCGGCAGAGCCCCAAGTGCGTCATCTCCTTGGAGGTCATGTCCAGCTCCATGGAGATCTGCGTGGTCAAGCTGGAGATCAAGGATCTCAATGACAATGCGCCCAGCTTCCCCACTGACCAGATCGCCCTGGAGATCTCTGAGACGGCCAGCCCGGGGACACGGGTGCCACTGGAGAGTGCCTACGACCCGGACTCGGGCAGCTTCGGGGTGCAGAGTTATGAGATCACACCCAATGACCTCTTTGGGCTGGAGACCAAGACGCGGGGTGATGGCTCTCGCTTTGCCGAGCTGGTGGTGGAGAAGAGCCTGGACCGCGAGACCCAGTCGCACTATAGCTACATGATCACGGCTTTGGATGGGGGTGACCCACCCAACTTTGGCACCGTGGAGTTGAACATCAGGGTCATTGACTCCAATGACAACAACCCCCTCTTTGAAGAGCCGTCCTACACCGTCAGCGTGCCCGAGAACTCTCCTTCTGGCACACCGGTGATCAGGCTCAACGCCACAGACCCTGATGAGGGCACCAATGGGCAAGTGCTGTACTCCATCCACAGCTATGTGTCTGAAAAGGCCAGGGACCTCTTCCAGATTAATCCCCAAACTGGGCTGATCACAGTCATTGGTGCCATTGACTATGAGGAAGGCCATGCATACGAACTGGATGTGCAGGCCAAGGATCTCGGCCCTAACTCTATTCCCGCCCACTGCAAAGTGACAGTCAGTGTACAAGATGCCAATGACAACCCTCCTCTCATTAACTTGCTCTCTGTGAACAGTGAGTTGGTGGAGGTCAGTGAAAACGCTCCTCCAGGTTATGTCATAGCCCTGGTGAGAGTTTCTGACCGCGATTCTGGTGCTAATGGACGAGTGCAATGCAAGCTGCTGGGCAGTGTGCCTTTCCGCCTGCAAGAATACGAGAGCTTCTCCACCATCTTGGTGGATGGACGCTTGGACAGGGAGCAAAGGGACCAGTACAACCTCACCATCCAGGCTAAAGACAATGGGATCCCCTCTTTGCAAGCGACCAAGTCCTTCACTGTCAAGATCACGGATGAAAATGACAACCACCCTCATTTCTCGAAACCGTACTACCAGGTCATTGTGCAAGAGAATAATACCCCTGGGGCCTACCTCCTTTCTGTTTCTGCCAGGGACCCTGATCTAGGCCTTAATGGCAGTGTCTCCTATCAGATTGTGCCCTCCCAAGTCCGAGACATGCCTGTCTTTACCTATGTCTCCATCAACCCCAACTCAGGAGACATCTATGCCTTGAGGTCCTTCAACCACGAGCAAACCAAGTCCTTTGAGTTCAAAGTCTTGGCCAAAGATGGAGGCAACCCTTCCTTGCAAAGCAATGCCACCATCCGAGTCATTGTCTTGGATGTCAATGACAACACCCCTGTGATAACTGCCCCTCCTCTAGTCAATGGGACTGCGGAGGTCTACATCCCCAGGAATGCCGGGGTTGGCTACTTGGTGACTGTGGTCAAGGCAGACGACTATGATGAAGGAGAGAATGGGAGACTTTCCTATGAGATGGCAGAGGGAGACCGAGGGTTTTTTGAGATTGACCAGGTGAATGGCGAGATAAGGACCACCAGAGCTTTTGGGGAGAATTCAAAGACTACGTACGAGTTGATCGTGGTGGCTCATGACCATGGGAAAACTTCTCTCTCCGCTTCTGCCTTGATTTTGATATACCTTTCTCCGTCTCTGGACGCCCAGGAATCCATAGGATCTGTTAACCTGTCCCTGATTTTTATTATCGCCCTGGGTTCTATCGCCGCCATCCTGTTCGTCACCATGATCTTTGTTGCAGTGAAGTGTAAGCGGGATAACAAAGAAATTAGGACCTACAACTGCAGGTAAAGGCCTCTTCTTTCTTGGTATCCCTGTATGTTTCATGTCAAGCCTTGATAACATGCTAGTACTTAAAAAAAGAGAGCAGAAAACCAAACTGCAGATGTCATGTTTCAAACAAATGCTCATAACAGCAGGAAATTCCTTATCTACTTATCAGATGTATTCTCCCAGTTGGAATTAAGTGGATTTATTATGGTCGTTGGGTACAAATTGCCCATAATCTAACACCAGATATGATCTGCGTTCCAATCTGCCCTGCCATTGGTTAGAAACGGGAGAGGTCTATCCCGTAGCCATAGGGGGAAAGTAATAAACAAAACCCCTGTATATATTTGTAGTGTTGATACAAAGATGAAGTAAGAGACAAAAAGGAGCAGGAGGAAGGATACAACTTGTTTGGACTGTAGCTATAAATGCATACCTTTGTGTAGATCTGTTCTGGCTTGGATGGCACAAGGAGTGGTTGTTTTTGGGGGGAGGAAGAAAGGAGAGTGTTAGGGAATGGAGACCCTCATGGGGAGGTTTGGGAGTGGGTGCTGAAGCGATGAGTAAGCCCATACTCTTGCTCTAGAATGGACATTGCTTTTTTTCCAGGGCCTCTGCAACCTTGTCGATATCTCATCCCCACCAGATGAGGTCACTGTGGGTGTTTTAAAATACGACACTTGTTTTCTCCGGGAGGGTTGGTTGTAAAAGGGACTGTGGGAGATGAAAGAAAGCAGGGTTCGGCTTGAGATGCACCAAGGGTGGCAAGAGGATGGGGGAAGGGGAAAGCCAGCCATTGGAAGCCCTGCTTCTGTGCTCTGTCTCGAAAAAAGACAAGGAAAAGGCAGCTTGGAGGCAGGATTCCTTGTTTACGCTTCTCTCGTCCTGCGTTTGGAAAACAAGACCTCCCTCCAAAACAAAACTTTATCTATCGCCAAATCACTGCTAAAGGGCCAGCAGTTGCCTCTCGCGTATATGTAGCTTGAGTTGACATTTGAAATGCCTTTGTCTACTTTATTTCGCTCCGCAGATTAGATCCAGTTATGGGTGCCTTTGGGGTTGCCGATGCCCCTCCTCGGGCAGCTTTTGAAAATTTAAGTCGTGGATTTGAGCCCCCTGAATATGTAACAGCAGAATATGAATTGTCTGTCTCTTGCTATTCTCTGTGTTGCACAAGTTAGTAGACAAATGCTAACCGCACATGAATATCAATTGGGCGCCATAAAGGAGCAGCTGCAACGGCTCATAAATGGTTTAATCCTGTTACGGACGAAATAGCCGTGACTTCTCCATTCCTTCGGTGCTCAGGCATTTCTGATGGAAGGGATGAAATTAATTTTGCCCCCTCTTTTGAAAGGTACGAATGCCTTTTTCCATTAGGAGCGTCTGGAAGGATCGGCAGCTTGTGGAAGTTTTTATTTACCCTGATCTTATAATAATTATGACGAGTTGGGATTTCTCTCCATCTCCTTGGCTTCGTTCTTTTATCTTCTGCTGTTTCCTTGCTCGATTAGTGTGCATATGCATATGGAAAAATTATCTGCAAACGACATTGCGCCGAGCTCTTCTTTTAGGAGCAGTTTGGCTTTCAAATGAGAGCTAATGTGCCAAATTTCTTGTCCATTAAACAAGAATAGGCACTGAAGGGGAAAAAAAAAGAGAATCCGTTGTGTCAATGCCTCAAACAGATTTGCACTTCTGTGAAATCGGTTGGTTTTAGTGTGATGGCTGGGGGATTAATGAAGTGCACTTTAATTAAATAATTGGTCAATAGGAGGGAAAAACACACACAAATAGGAGAGCAGAATGAATGCCTGTAGGGCTCCTTCATTCCGAGCTGTAAACATTTAGAGCACAATGAGCAGTGTAATCCAGTGCACATCTACTCAGAAGTATGCTCCACTGAGTCCAGTTGGAACCATCTCCTGTGAACGGTGCCTCGCATGGCTACCTAAGGCTCCTTTAAATGCCGTGAGGTCACCAAAAGTACCCAGAGAGCCATTCTCTTGACTCTTTCCAATCCCCAGAATTGAAATATACAACAGGAGGACCATCCCTTGACCATATAAATGGGCTTAAACCAGAATGATGTGGAAATGCACAAAAAGAGCTCAGGAAAGGGAAGAGACGAAGCCTCTTTTGTGCAACCTGTGTTTTTGTGCAAGGAGGGAAGGTGTCTGCCAAATGTTGGCCGGCAGACAGTGCTCTTTTCCTCCCTCTGGCTCTGTCCGTATGATGCTCTGCATGAGCTTGCTGCATTTGATCTTTGGATCATGAAAGTGCCCAGTTTTGAGATTTTCTATCTTTATTTTCTATTACTTTTTTAAAAATGAGCACTCATCTCTCTTTCCCGTTTCTCTCTTTAGTCTGCTGCTTTTTTCCTTTCTCTGCCTCATTCATTAAACTTGCCTCTTGCATAGAGTTCTTTAGTTCAGTGGTACAGCTGATGCTTTGCATACCGAAGGCCTGGATTCCCCTCCTGGTTGAAAAGACCACTGTTTGCAAAGCTTCCTGCATTGAAGACTGCTAATCAGAGCAGCCTATATTGGGCTTGCTGGGCCAAATGATATGGCTTGGTACAAAAATCCCATTCCTATTCTTTTGTCATCTTTTTTGCATTATTGAAATGTAGATTTCTAAATTATCAGGTGCTTAGATTGCACTGTCTTAGGAAGGAGCACCCATTCCTTCCATCCATCCTGGCTTACATTGCTATTGGAAGGAGCGGGTGCTGCAATGATATCATATACACATTATCTGGCCAGGGATGCTTCATAGAAAGTGCTCTTTCATTCCACATGTAAGACGAAAGGAAAAGGGACTTGTTTGGCACGGTGACTTCCAGCTGCGCCTGAGCATCATCTTTATTTATTGTGCTAAGACCTTCCTGGATTATTTGCCCGGTCATTTGATCATTTGTGGATAATTGTCAACAATAGAAAAATATGAGAGATGCTATTTTTGGAAACTAGTATTTTTTTTCCCCCGCGGGTTAAAGCCAGACCTATTTCTTTGGGAAGACTGCAATGCCTGGCATCTCCCGTGTGTATCTACATCTGCGTGGCACTGATAACGATACACGGGCCCCAACGGTAATACCAAATCACAGTGACTTCGATCTAGACTTACGAAGATAACGCCGAATGCACTCCTGTTTTTAATTATTTTTCTAGCCCTCGTTTACTGATAAACTTTATCCCCCTTCTCTTTCCTTGGGTACAAGAAACAAAGCCAGAGGTACATTTTGTCAACCTAGTTGAAGGTCAGAATACTGATTTTTTTTCTTATTCCAAGACAACACAACATTGGCTGTAAAATAAAATAGAAGTAGGCCCACAGGATTCATGTCTAGAAGACAGGAAATAAGAAAACTGTTTTCCTAATAGATGTTAGGGGTGAAACCACACCTGAAAAGCAAGAGAAGTAGTGTGGAAGGAATGAGAGTCTGGTTCTTTGGTATAGAAGTATGGATATTGTATTAATGTATTGTCGAAGGCTTTCATGGCTGGAATCACTGGTTTTTGTGAGTTTTCTGGGCTGTATGGCCATGTTCCAGAAGCATTCTCTCCTGACGTTTCGCCTGCATCTATGGCAGGCATCCTCTTTATTTACTGTTTTGATTTTAGAGTTTTTAAATACTGGTAGCCAGTTTTTGTTCATTTTCATGGTTTTCTTCTTTCTATTGAAATTGTCCACATGCTTGTAAGCAGCCAGGCTTTGAAGCTGCAAGGCCATTAAATGCTAATCAAGGTGGCCAATTGCAACATTCACTCTTGCCTCCAAAAAACAAGAGTTCTTTCTCTCACCCTGGGCATTCTGCAGATATATAAACCCAATTTTCCTAGTTTCCAATAGACCTCACAACCACTGAGAATGCCTGCCATAGATGCAGGCAAACGTCAGGAGAGAATGCTTCTTGGACATGGCCATACAGCCCGGAAAACACACAACAACCCAGATATTGTATTAATTGTGTAAACTATATCCCTCCCCCTTTCCTTGGGTACAAGAGACAAAGCCAGAGGTACATTTGTCAACCTAGTTGAAAGTCAGAATATTTTTTTCCTCTTCGACAATACACAGCACAGTATTGGCTGTAAAATAAAATAGAAGTAGGCCCACAGGAATCATGTCTAGAAGAGAGGAAATAAGAAAACTGTTGACCTAATAGATGTTATGGGTGAAACCACACCTAAAAAGCAAAAGTAGTATGGATACTGTATCAGCCGTGCAAAGAAATATACAGTAAAGTCTCGCTTATCCAACATAGACAGAACGTTGGATAAGTGAAAATGTTGGATAAAAAGGAGGGATTAAGGAAAAGCCTATTAAACATCAAATTATATTGTGATTTTACATATTGAGCCCCAAAACATTATGTTTTAGAACAAATCGACAGAAAAAAGCAGTTCAATGCATGGTAACTTTATGTAGTAACTCCTGTATTTATGAATTTAGGACCAAACATTGCAATGTATTGAAACAGCTGTGAATCAGGGTGGGAGGCAGACTGTGTTGGATAATATAGAAAGTTGGATGAGCGAAGGTTGGATAAGTGAGACTATTGTAGTTGGAATACAACTCCTATAACATTCCTCGTCATTGGCTAGAATCAGTGGGAATCCTAGTCCAGTTGGATGAGCGAAGGTTGGATAAGTGAGACTCTACTGTAGCTGAAATACAACTCTTATAACATTTCTCATCATTGGCTAGAATCAGTGGGAATCCCAGTCCAGTTGGATCAGCAAAGGTTGGATGAGCGAGACTCTATTGTAGTTGGAATACAGCTCCTATAACATTCCTCATTATTGGCTAGAATCAGTGGGAATTCCAGTCCAGTTGGATGAGTGAAGGTTGGATAAGCGAGACTCTATTGTAGTTGGAATACAACTCCTATAACATTCCTCATCATTGGCTAGAATCAGTGGGAATTCCAGTCCAGTTGGATGAGTGAAGGTTGGATAAGCGAGACTCTATTGTAGTTGGACTACAACTCCTATAACATTCCTCATCATTGGCTAAAATCAGTGGGAATTCCAGTCCAGTTGGATGAATGAAGGTTGGATAAGCGAGACTCTACAGTAGTTGAAATATAACTCTTATAACATTCCTCATCTTTGGCTAGAATCAGTGGGAATCCCAGTCCAGTTGAATGAGTGAAGGTTGGATAAGTGAGACTTTACCGTAGTTGAAATATAACTCTTAGAACATTCCTCATCATTGGCTAGAATCAGTGGGAATTCCAGTCCAGTTGGATGAGTGAAGGTTGGATGAGCGAGACTGTATTGTAGTTGGAATACAACTCTTATAACATTCCTCATCTTTGGCTAGAATCAGTGGGAATTCCAGTCCAGTTTGGTGAGTGAAGGTTGGATAAGCGAAACTCTACCATAGTTGAAATATAACCCTTACAACATTCCCCATCATTGGCTAGAATTAGTGGGAATTCCAGTCCAGTTGAGTTGGTGAAGGTTGGATAAGTGAGACTCTATCATAGTTGAAATATAACCCTTACAACATTCCTCATCATTGGCTAGAATTAGTGGGAATTCCAGTCCAGTTGGGTGAGTGAAGGTTGGATAAGCGAGACTCTACCATAGTTGAAATATAACCCTTACAACATTTCTTATCATTGGCTAGAATCAGCGGGAATTCCAGTCCAGTTGGATCAGTGAAGGTTGGATAAGCGAGACTCTATTGTAGTTGGAATACAACTCTTATAACATTCCTCATCATTGGCTAGAATCAGTGCAAATTCCAGTCCAGTTGGATCAGCGAAGGTTGGATAAGCGAGACTCTACTGTACTTGTAATATAACTCTTATAACATTCCTCATTATTGGCTAGAATCGGTGCGACTTCCAGTCTAGTTGGATCAGCGAAGGTTGGATAAACACAACTCTACTGTATATAAATAACGCAATCCACATGCTGGCACGGGAAGTCTAAATAGCTGTTTCCCAGTTGCAAAAAGGTCCCCCTTCCCTGCTTTTTGCTCAGTGTATATGACCAGAGATGCCGTTGTTTATAAGCTGGTATTATATTGCTTGAGAAACAAGTTGAAGATTCATACCAGGTTTATGACTCTGAGAGATGCAAAGACCCATTCCTCCCTATGCTGTTTTTTTACAACCTGCTTTATACATTTGTATTACTCAATTTAAATAACTTTCAAATGGTAATGCATTCACATACCCTTTTCACTCCGTGGATTTTTTACATACTTATTTTTCCCTTTTCCGCAGGCTGAACTATATCTCTGGTAACTAGATCCCGACAAGCCTAAGCAGCAGACCAAAAAGCAGGGGAACTTCCCTCCCTTTTTCCTCACTGGTTTTCTTTATGTGCCCGATCAACCAACTTTATGCCTGTGAAAGATAAACCCGGGACCCTTCGCTTTATCATGAGAGCCAAGCCGATGACCCTGCATGTGGATGGGAAACTCTGGGATTCTCTGTTGACTAGTGTGCAGTTTGAGGATGAAGTAAGATACTCACTTTGCTTTCTTGTGTCCTGCAGAATTGCAGAGTACTCCTACGGGCATCAAAAGAAATCCAACAAGAAGAAAAAGATCAGCAAGAATGACATCCGCCTCGTGCCGCGCGATGTAGAGGAGACCGATAAAATGAACGTTGTGAGCTGCTCTTCCCTCACCTCCTCCCTCAATTACTTTGACTATCACCAACAGACGTTGCCTCTGGGTTGCCGCCGGTCGGAAAGCACCTTTCTCAATGTGGAGAACCAAAACAATAGGAACACGGGGTCCAACCACGTCTACCACCACACCTTCACGGGCCAGAGTCCTCAGCAGCCGGATCTCATCATCAATGGGATGCCACTTCCAGAGGTGAGCATGGAGGGAGTGCACGGAGGGTGGGGGGGGGGTGTCCAATCGTGGCCATGCATTGCTTGGGAAGACCTGTCATAACTAGTTTCCACTGAATGTTGCACCTGCGTATTTCTGATGTGGTGATGACTCGTAATTTAGATGGTTTCCATGAAGAAGAAGAGATTTATCATTGGGTTGCTGTGTGTTTTCCGGTCTGTGTGGCCATGTTCCAGAAGCATTCTCTCCTGAATTTTTGCTTGCTTCTATGGCAGGCATCATCAGAGGTTGTAAGGTCTGTTGGAAACAAGGCAAGGGAAGTTTATATAACTGATGTCCAGGGTGGGAGAAAGAACTCTTATCTGCTTGAGGCAAGTGTGAATGTTGCCATTGGCCACTTTGATTAGCATTGAATGGCCTTGCAGCTTCAAAGCCTGGCTGCTTCCTGCCTGGGGAAATCCTTTGTTGGAAGGTGTTAGCTGGCCCTGATTGATTCTTGTCTGGAATTCCCCTGCTTTTTGAGTGTTGCCCTTTATTTACAGTCTTGATTTCAGAATTATCATATAATTATCAAAGCAGGCAAAAATAGTTGGGTTGTTGTGATTTTTCGCGGCTATGTGGCCATGTTCCAGAAGCATCCTCTCCTGATGTTTCACCTGCATCTATAGCAGGCATCATCAGAGGTTGTGAGGTCTATTGGAAACAAGGCAAGTGAGATTTATATAACTGTGGAATGATGTCGGGGGGGGGGGGGAAGAACTCTTGTATGCTTGAAGAATATGTGAATGTTGCAATTGGCCACTTTGATTAGCATCAAATGGCTTTGCAGCTTCAAAACCTGGCTGCTTCCTGCTTGAGGAAATCCTTTGTTGGAAGGTGTTTGCTAGCCCTGATTGATTCTTGTCTGGAATTCCCCTGTTTTGTGAGTGTTGTTCTTTATTTACTCTTAATTATTTACTCATAAGCAAGAGAGCAATGGAAGCTCTCCATGTTCATGTTTCTTCCTTTATTTTTGAGTACTGTTGCTTTGATGCCAACTTGTGGACTTCCTCTGGACTCCGAATGGCTGGTGTTGGAAACAGACTTTCTTCACAAGGGCAGTTGGTCTACTGTGCTTTTCAGTTGTGTGATAGAGCTGGGTCTCACAGGGTCAAAGCACTGGTCATTATCGATTAGCAGGAATATTGATATAATTTCCCTCTCCCCAACCTTTGTGATTCTTTCTGAACATACCATCATTCCTCATAGTAGTTAAGGTATAATTTGATCTTGTATTGGGAGTTTGAACCCATTAGCTTTGCAAAAGAACTGCTTGTAGTAGAGAGAAAAACCACTGGAGTTGTTTTACTGACATGAATTGAGACAGTTGCTTGTATTTCTGGTGTCTACTTTGGTAATGGGGACTACCATGGTGCACCCAAACATTCCCACTATAACACTGCTTGCTTTACTTTTGATTGAGATCTCTTTGCTAAATTGAGTTGTAGATTCTAGTTCTAGCCATTAGACTCTCCCGGCTTTCCGAGAATGTGTTAGAAGAGAAGGAAAATACATGTCTTGATAACTTATTCTTATATTATAGCTCAGTTATTGTCAGTGTGTTTGAACAATGAATTATCAGCATTGTTCTGCAATAATTGCAGATGTAGTTGAAGTTGTAAGTAAATGGTAATGGCATGTACCTGGTAGCCATAAGTGTTCTAGTATTCTTGAAATTTTGTGCATACAGATAAATGGAAAACAATACAAGAATGGTTCATAATTCTATGGCAGTGTTAATATGACATGAGCACAATCCTAAATTATTTTTGGTGTGTGTGGTTAGTTTGCAGTGATGTTGGGCACTGACTTCCAGATTCCGTCATGGAGTCATCTTCTCACTGGCTTTGAGTGCTATTACTTATCAGCATTATATTTATTGCATTAATTTATTATGAACAGATTTGCACTAAAAGCTGGCTGGACTGATGACTGACAAGTCAGCGGTTTGAATCTAGGGAGATTGGGTTGAGCTCCCTCTGTCAGCTCCAGCTCCCCATGCGGGGACATGAGAGAAGCCTCCCACAAGGATGATAAAAACATCAGTTCATCCGGGTGTCCCCTGGGCAATGTCCTTGCAGATGGCCAATTCTCTCACTCCAGAAGTGACTTGCAGTTTCTCAAGTCACTCCTGACACCAAAGAAAAAGCCTTGGTTGTGACTTGGATGGGAAATCACCAAAGAATGCAATTTTTTCAGGGGAAGACCAAGGCAAAACACCTCTGAATATTCTTTACTGATGAAAACGCATGGGGTCACCATTGGTGGGCAGGCAACTTGAAGGCACATATATATCCACAACCCTCATCTTTCAGAAGTGACTCCCAGGGTCTGAGCATGCTCAGTGCCTGCAGGAGTTCATATGGGCTGGAATGGGAATGAAATTCATTATTTTGGAAGGAGTTGGAGATAGCTGTGCAGCATTCTGGAAAATAATGATTCACATTGCATTTTTTGGTTTTCTCTCACTTATATATATATTTTTTACATTGGATGGTGGATATTATTGTGCATACTACTATAGGGAAAAGTAATCACTTAATTTATAACTAAGATTTGGTTTTAAATTTGGTCTGCTTGTTAATGCTGCCCTTGCTTCTACTATGGATGGAAAAGAAAGAAAATATTTTAAACCTCCTTTCTTCTTAATTGTGGGAGGCAGCTTTTGTTGATCTGTCATTTCTTGTTGATGACAATAACTATTATGTCCACATATAGGCTGTTGTTCAGAGCCATGGCCCTACGAGGCGGACACAAAAGAAAGCTTAGCAGCCTCATTGCGGTGACCCTGCTCTGTAGCATTGTAGCTCTAAACGAAGGATCCCCATAAATAAAATAAACAGCTCAGAAGCACATAAAGCTTCGCCACACAAACAAGACTCCCAGGGAAAGGCAGTCTGGAAGAGGGAAGTTTTAATGGTCCCTTCAAAAGACACTACTGTAGGATACACGAGTAAATCATTTGAAATGGAGTTCCATAACTTGGAGACCAATTTACGGCCAATCGAATGGATCTTGTTAGTGGGAGCCACTACAATGTTTGGTACTACAATCCCCACATGCCCTGTCTAGCATGCGCTGTGAGTGGGGATGATGGGATCTCCAATCTGGAATATCAAAAAGAGTGCCAAGCACTTGCTTTCCCAACTAACTGAAGAGCTTCTACTTGAGCAATAATTTGCCCAGAAACATACATTTTTACTCTGAAAGTAAGCCTTGGTGAGTTCAGTGAGGTTCACTCCCAAGTAAGTACATGCTGGATTATCTTTTTAAAATAGTTTTTTTATTTCCAAACAACAACAACAACAACAAACTTTATTTATACCCTGCCACCATCTCCTCAAAGGGGACTCAGGGCGGCTAACATGAGGCCAAGCCCAAAGGTACAATACAGCAAAAATAAAATACAAACTGCAGACAACAAAAATTGCATTAGAATAAAATACATACAGTAACAAAATAACATAAATAAATCAAATTAACACAATATAAAATCAAACAGAATGGGCAGACCAAACGGACAAGGTAAAATGATAAAACCCTGGATGAAGTAGGAATAAAAAATATGTGATTGAGGGGAGCCCAAAAAAGATAAATAGTGAGGTAGGATTTCAGTTTAGAACAGCGGAAAGTGCATCATAGAGACATACATTAACAACAAAAAACAAAACAAAACAGTAAACATTTTACAAACACATAGCCCCACAACCAAGGACTGAACAAGTATCCTTTCCTTCACCATATATCATTAATCACCACGTATCATTAATCAAATGTCATATCCAAAATTTCTGACCAGCAGGGTTATATTGTTTTCACTCCTGAAAGCATATTTAATAAAGACTGACCAGTATGCATCAAAATCTGACCTGTTAGTTTACCCCCTGAATATTTATTTATTATTATTTATTTACTTCAATTACATACCACTTTTCTCAGCCCTTGGGCGACTCAAATGAACACCCTCATTTTCATTGATAGTTTATCATTTAAGGCTACGTTTCATACATCTCTCTATACCATACTTCCGGTGTAAGATTAGTTACTATTGTCCAATTCCTTGTGATTATAATTCTTGCCACTATGAGTAAAATAATCACCAATTCTTTCTAAATTAGCTTTGTGGCATCCATTAGTAATGCTAACCTAGCATCCGGAGTAATATTTAGTCCTGGATTATAACCATAAGTACAGTGTTCCTTCACCGCTTCGCAGTTCATTTACCATGGTCTCGCTGTTTCGCGATTTTGCCTGTGCCCTTACAGCCATCCTTCTCCTCACCTTCCCTCCCTCCCTCCTTCCTTGCCTTCCTTCCTCTGCCATGTTGCCAGATGGACCTTCCTTCATCTGCAATTGTGCCAGAGGGGGCTTCTTCTTCCCTGCAACCCCCTCGGTAGTGGGAGAAGCTCCCACCAGTGGAGTGGACAGCCAATGGGAGTCGGACCTGTTACCTCTCAATTGGCTGGGCTGCGGAAGGCCATGTCAGGCAGTGATCCTTCCCTCAGTGGCAAACTTGGCGGTGGCCACAGCAGCATCAGGAACATGGCAGCACTGGTTGGAAGTGGCTGGAAGCGGGTTTATTTTGGGCCTTTGGCCCAGTTTTTGGCTGGGTTTCCCCTGGGTCTTCCTCCTCGGCTGGCCTTGGGCTCCCTCCATCCCTGTATTGAATTTTCATGCCAGGTTTGGTACAGATCCATCATTGTTTGAGCCCACAGTGCACTCTGGATGTAGGTGAATACCCCTTTGAATACCCCTATTTCGCGGATTTGCACTTATCACGGGGGTCCTTGAGTGGAAGCAGAAAAGGGCAACTACAATGATCAAAGGTCTGGAGACCATGGATCCCTCCAAGGAGCATCTACAATGGGTCTGTTTAGCCTGCAGAAGAGAAGGTTGAGAGGAGACATGAGAGCCATGTATAAATATGTGAAATGATGCCATAAGGAAAAAGGAGCTTGTTTTCTGCCCTGGAAACTAGGGTT